GGTAACTTCCGGTTCTACTTATTCCTTGCTAAGGAGACTGAACATGCTAGATGATCGTTCCTTGATGTTTAATAGGCAAGATTCATTTAAAATAAACCGAGAGAAAGCGTCTTAGCAAATGCAGAAAGCTCACGATCGGAACGAAAAGCGTTATAATTTGCGCTCGAGAGAGGTTTCCTACGCTGAAGGGCAAGAGGTATTTCGACGCAATTTCAAGCAAAGCTGCTTTCAGACCGGCTATAAGGCCAAGTTTGGTCCATCATTTGTAAAAGCCCGAGTTCGAAGAAAATTGGGAAGATCTTACTACGAACTAGAAGACTTGAAAGGTCGACTCTTGGGTAACTATCACGCGAAAGATATTCGCCAGTGATGCGACTCCAGGCGGTAATCTGTCTAGGGTATCTAGATCCAAATACCCTAGCCTGATTCTAGTGGGGGGCTTTTGTAACGGCGCCTTTAGCGCCTGGCGAACATAGGTTCAGCCTGAAAGCCTACTGTACAGGGTCCGCTTAAACCAAAGCTTGACCTAGTGTGGCCACCTGTGTCGGCTATTCGATAATTCGATAGTTTTGAACACCTGAGCCAGGGTGGTATTGGAAAGTTCTAGTTTTGTCACCTGACGGTCGTCATATGATATATATTTCCGCCAAGAGCCTCGCTGGTATCCAGCCGATTCCGGTTAAGTTCTTCTTATTTTAACCAGCGAGAGAAACGGACGTGCGAGCAACTCAAAATTTAATTTTTTCAATTAAAAGGCTAAAAGCCCGAAATATATATTTTTTGAGTGGCATCCAGTATTTTTGAGTGGCATCCAGTATTCTAAGTGGTGTTTAACACTCAGTGTGGCTGCCAGCTATAAAAGCTGGCCAGCGAATAAAGCTTAAAGTAAGTGCAAGTGCATTTGTTTAGAAATTGGGGAGTATTTAACCTCCAACAAAATTTCACTACAGGTATTTTTAATATTCCGGGTGGAAAACCCAGCCAGTGCTGCCACAAGTTGCCGCCAAAGGCGCATCTTATTGATTCGGTCAATTTACCGGAGGATTTACCACCTCGAGAAGGCCAAATTCAAATCTCGGGGCCCAATCGTCAGGTTGGCCCGCGAGGAATGATTTGGAGGGATTAGTGCCCTGAAGTACCGCTATCTACTATCTACCTATCTACGGGCTATGTAGTGCCTTCCAAGAAGAGCAGTTTATATAAAGAGGACCCGATGGCAATTTAATTCAATTATATAACCTGTCCCGATGCCCATCATGCCGCGCATCCGTACACCAGCCGAGTTTTAAGGGGTGCGCGTATCCGCCTAGGAGGTTTCCGAGTGGAATATCGCTGCCACAGATTTAGGTATTTATACCCGTTTATTTTGTAAAAGCGCCGCGTGTGGGAACGGCCTTAACCTAGCATGGCGCACTAGCCAACCGTGTTTAACCTTAATGAAGATAAAAACTCTCTTTCGTAATGGATCAGTCCTAACCCTGTTATATAACCATCGTGCTTTGAAAAACCGAATTTAAGAATTAATGTGAAAAGAAAATCAATGAAATCAAAGATATGTAAACCATAAAGCAAACAATAATTTTTCGTAAACCCTCAAGTGGCAACGCCATGTAAAGCGATAGTTATATTTGACAAATTGAAAGAAAATAACCAGTCACTCGGGTTAAAAGAGATAATGCACGCCGAGAAGCATTAATTTAATTTAAGAAGAGTTACATTTTTTTTTAGGATTTAAATGAGAAATTTGTTATTGTAAAGCATTCAAGGAAGAACGATGAATTAGGTACGGGTTACAAGTTTAGTTTAAATCGTTCGCGCGTTTAAGAGAAATGAGAGAAAGGTTTATTTGCCCTTTAAATTCTACATGGCGAGAAAAATCGCTTTCCTTTAGATTACAGCCAACCCATCCCGTCCGGAGATCGATCTTCAACGTTGGAGGAAATGCCGTGAGTTACACTAACTAATCACCTATATATATTACTTTATTCACATATCTCGCCGACCCGTAAAGTGAACGAAACTTATTTAAACATAAACCCCGATCTAAAAACAATTAATTAATTAAAATACCTTGAGTTATTTGCATTCTCTATGAATTGATTTGCGATTTTTAAAAGAAGTTGAATATAAATTAAGATCGCCTATTGCTAAATCCTAAAGTCTCTAATTGCCTAAAAAAAATTAAATTTAGAGAAAGTCCCTTTAATAAGATTTTTTTTTTGTGCAAAAATAATACAAGAAAACTAGAACTATCGAAAACTATTTTTTTAAGCTAAAATTTATATTTAGTAAAATACATTGTTATATCATGAATATTATCTTCCTATGCCTTATTTTTTTCAAATGCCCTATGTTCTTTTTATAAATATTAAATATGACTCGTACCGCTATCTTCGGAAAATTAATTACCTTTTCGAACAGAAATAAAACCATGGATCTTTAAATAACATTGAACTGAACGAGCTGATGATTTCTCGATCGTAGGGTATCAAAGGGGTCACCGAAGCCATGCTTTAAGGTGGTGATCATAGGTTGGGAGGGCCATACGCGACCACAATACCATCCGTGGATTCGCATAGCTAACTTTCTCCAAAACTTTTCTGTCCCTATAATACTTATTCCTGAATTTATTAATCGTTCTCTTCCGGTTTCAGTTTACTATTCTCTCTTGTCGCTAGCACGCTTATATCTGATCTTAGTGATAATAATGTGTAGTCAGTACGCGAATCTGTAGGCGCAAGACCTCCACCCCCAAAGCCGACGAGCGAGTGCCGGACCCTAATAGCGTGCCCCGCAACTGCAGATTCCCGATTTCATGCAACCATTACACGCTACACCTATTCCCAGAGGTAGGAAGTAGAACCGCGGAGTTATGAGATGCGTTGATAACTGTTTTATTCTTCATTTGGAACATGTTTATATACTACTTGGAACACGGAAGCTTAGTGTAATGATTTGTGAAATAAGCTATATTCTAAAGTTGGTCATGCAATTATGATTATGGTGCAGTTGGCTCAGCTGCCGCGTCAGTGTGCCGTTGAGTCGGTGAGTTAGTGAGACATATAATATGCTGATCAGCAATTCTCATATGCAGTGGGTGCTACTATACGCCTGGTACTGATACTGCAACATGTGCTGACTGCATTGGCGGGTCAGTGAGCCGTGGAGTCGGTGAGACGGTGAGTTAGTCTGCTACTGAGCGCCTGGTACTGTTCCCAACTTGGCTACTGCTTGATTTGTTGGGTGTGGTCATGCTGAGCACCTTTGAGTACGAACAGGGATACTACCTCCAATAGAAACAAGACTTTTGGAAAAAATTCCTTACGATAGTTTTAAAACTGAGAGTCTAGTTTGCGTAGAAAGTGTAACTTATTTCTATTACAGGTAGTATATAAGTCGGAACGAGCCGGATCGGACAACTATTTCGTATACCTCCCATAAGAATGATAAAAAACTATTTTTGAACAAATGTAAAAATACTTAACCTGTTGTGTTTTTAGACATACATATTAAGTTCCACTCTTGCGAATATCATTGTTATAATGTTTCAGAATACTGAATGAAATTTTAAAAATATCGGAAAACTATATCCTATGGGATATATCCCATAGGAATAATCGGAAAAATAATGGAACTTTCTGTTTGAAAAAGTCGATCTAGCCATGTCCGTCTGTCCGTTTGTATGTCTGTCTGTCCGTATGAACGGTGTGATCTCGAAAACTATAAAAGTTAGAGATTTGGGACGTGGCATGTAGATTCGTGCGCTTATTGCGCAATGCAAGTTTGTTTTAGCAGGCGCCCACCGTTTTTGAACAAGAAACAAAATTGTAACTGAAATGTATTGTTCTTATCAATACCTTTTGATTAACTCAAAACAAGTTGCCACGTGCACTTTAACGCCCACAAGCCGCCCAAAAATGTGGCACCCACAGTTTTCATGCTAAAAAAATGTTCACTTAAGTGTATGTGTCTCGCCAATATATATCGATTGACCCAAAAAAAGTTTTCATGCCCACTCTAACGCCCATAACGCTCTGTCTGCCACCCACTTAATCATATATTGATAGATTCCACATTACAATATCGCTGATTTCATATCTTCATCTCCCTTTGGTCCCTTAGCTGAGTAACGGGTATCTGATAGACGAGGCACTCGACTATAGCGTTCCTTGTTTTAATTATATTTGAAAAGAGGGCATTGTTCGGGCTAACGCCAAGTAGATGTAACGCCGCGCTCGTTCGAGCTCATGTCATCTCCTTTGTTTTCGTCGCCAACTGCGACTGCATGTTGTAGTTAGTTCCCTTTTGGTCAAACTGGAATAAGGATCCCTCTCCATTTGATTGACGTTTGGTGGACTAATTCCGCCTGCCGGAAGCTGAATTTAAATCTATTGTAATCGATCTAAGTCAAAAGCTCTGGAGCACTGCCACCCATGCTTATTTATACCTATTATAACGATGTAAAATTTCACGTGTACTTCATTACTCTTTTTGATCAACGTGGAACTTAAATAGGCTTATAAAAAGCTCGAATCTTCAAGAAGAGTTCTGACTAAAATCAAGAACAAGTCGCCTTCGCCTTTTAGATAAGAGAGAACTATTTTTTCAAGAACGATTTGCTCTTTAAAACGAAAGTGCACACTCTTGGAAACAATAGTGATTATGCTTGAAGTCTTTTACGCTGAGATGGTTTTTTCCCGGTGAACTGTTCTGGATGTTCGGTGTCCCCGATACGTTTACTTAAACTTTGGTGAGGCCGTAGAGGTCGGTGTTTCCCAGGGTCTTCATTTTATTAAACAACAGTCAAGGATAGTGCCATGCACTGTGCGTCCTTTAAAACAGGTGAGGCTGAAGTGCAGGACATGTCCAAGCGTTACGCGTTAGCTCTGAAGAAGCTCAGCCATTAGTTAGAAGTGGTTCTTGTTTACCTCGTAGCTCAATGTCTATGTGATCGCCGATATAAAGGGACCGTCGATATGACGCACAGGGTACTTGCCGCACACATTGTCGAAATAATTGGCGCAGGCAATGGCTTCAAGGGAATAGTTGATAAATTGCGCTACAGATAACTCAAATCATCCTTTTTATAAATGTAAAATAGTAAATAAGATATGCGCTGTACTTACCTGTACTTGGACGACTCAGTGATCATTTGATCGTTTTCTCGAGACCAATAGTTTAGTGAGGTCGGGTTCGCCTCGATGAAGCACTCAAGGGTGATGTTAAGTCCCATTGGTATGCCCACAAGCTGATGCGGGATCCAGACCATTGGTGTGACTAGTAGAATGTACACAAATATGTAGATGAATTGAAACTTAACTCAACTAGATTATTTATTGACTTACAGTCTACGCTCACTTTTATCCGCTTGGATACGCTTGGCGGTACACCGTTTGAGCCGATGCATAGGTAGGCACCCATATGCAAGCGAGAAATCCTTTCCAGTTCTAGGGAGTCCGTCTCCAATTCATGCACTGGAAAGATTTCAGAAAATTTGCCTATGAAAGTGGCACCCCTAACGCTGAAATATAGATAGTCTCACCTAAGAGCGTCTTGTTGACAACTATTTTGTCGCCGTCATCTCTTTTCCACTTGATGGTCGGCTCGGGGCTGCCTTTCGCCTTGCAGCGTAGCGTCACATTTTCGCCTTCGCGCACGATGATGTCACTAGATGAAAGGGCATCGTCTATATTGGGTGGAACTGGGGATACGTGCAT